AGTTTCTTTCGCCGGTTCTTCTCAGGTCAGGGTATTTTCTTTTCCGAACCAGTGGTAGTGTCTCAAATGACCATCAATAAGAAAGTGTAATTAATTCTTCTATATTGAATAAAGTTGTTTGAGTTTGAGTATTCCCTTTATGAGCCCTGTAGATGCGGTGAGAGCGTAGCATAAGGACGAATGTGCCCACTGCTTTTCTCAGTGGTTCCATCGATACTGACGATATGGAGGGGAATAGAGATTACTTTGAAAAACAATGACCGTATTGGCAACTATCTACATTAAGCCGTTTTTATTTTGTTAACACTTCCAATATAACCTAAGCATAAATTTATAAATAGTATGAATATGTTGTACTGTTTAATCTCCAATTTCAATACATAACAAAAAATGTATGGAATCGGAAAAAGTCTTATTTTGTCGTTCTCTTAGAATCACTTTATCTCATCGGTTTATATTTTGTATTTTGATATTAATAGTAGTATCATAGGATCGTCGTATGTTTTCCATTGTATTCGAAACCTTCATAAATTTCGTATACATATCACACATTCAGCGGTTTTGGAGCTATGATACAAATTCACATAAATTTCATAGTACAAGGCTTATAAGATAACGCTGTTTCATAAATTCGAAAGAAAACTGATTAATTTTATTCAGATGGAATAACTTTTTACTTATTAAATAAAAATAAATCATTAAATTAATTGGAGTAAGTCCTCATAGTATTAAACACTGACGTAAATAAATGAGATAAAATCCAAAATTTCTTATTACAATTCCCAATTTAATCGCCTTTTTAAGATATGATCTACTTTTGTTACACAGCGTGTAATTCTGTATTTTATTGGAAAAAAATAACTATTTAGATAACACATTTTATTTAAAAATAAATTTAAATTAATTAATACTAGTCAAAATTAAAGAGATCTAAGGTTTTCGCGAGTTTTACTCTTAAATGAAACTAATATTTTTCGTATATGCTACGCGTGCTTTACTTTTGCTATAAAAAAGTGCATACTTCCGACGTTTCGGCTATTTTACAGCGACTGTGACCACGGGCAGCGAGATGTGAATGTCACTCTGATATTAGTGGTATTTAAATAGTTGATATTAATTATAATTGATTATTTAGTTAACAACTCACGACTTACTTATTGATTAACACATGAAAGGAACCCGTCTATGTTACATAGATACATAAGACAAAATAATGTCAATGAAATATATAAATACTAAAATACTATTATTCTTCATAAAAAGTATCGTTTAGTTTTTTTTAAAAGGGATTGTGTAGTTGTAAATATTGTATAGTATTTTTACTTTCATTTATTCGCGATATTAAAATATTTCAAAGTATTCTTATAGCCCGGTTTATACGATTAGGTTTTATTTAGAAGATCAAATTTATTATAATATTTTATTAAGATATCTCTCCAGGATTGTTTTCCAAAAGCGTTTGAATAACAGCTTTCATTTGTTTTCATTCTAAAACAAACAAAAATAAATCAATGCTTTTTATTTTATAAACAATAGATTACAAAGATAAACAAGACGAAAAATTACATGCGGTATTTTCTAGTACCGTATCAGCTTAAACCATTTGAACACATAGAATGTAAATATAAAATAAGGAACCAAAAATTATCGTCTGGTGCAGGGTTTAACAGAATAACCGAAACGTCGGGCGTATGTAGTTTTCAAATTAATAAATACGCTTTGTATAATTCGAATAATATTAGCTCGATTTGAATTAATACTTGCAAAAGGCTAAGATCTCATTAGGATTTAACAATTCAGGGCGTAAGCAGGTGGAACGCTTTATTTTAGTAATTCCTAATGTTTAGCTTGATATTGCTGGAAAACTTTAAGACATAATAGAGTATTTGTTAATAAGAAACAAAATAATTGGTTTCGTTAAAAAATATTGCAAGTTACAAAGTTACTGTTATGCTCATTTGGAACGTTATTTTGTTATTAGGTTTTTTATATATTCAATATGTTTATTGATCTGAATTAGTATCAGTGTTTGTCAACATTTTGAAAGAAAATAACTATTCACATCTTTATTGAAAGCGCAACTAAATAGATAAAGATGTAAATGACTATTATATACTTAAATTTTTGCATCTACGGAGTAGAATCTGGTAGAGCGACGTCTTGGGCAATTAAATTTATTTCGATTTCATCAGGGATGTTCGCATACACTAAAGTCAATTGTTTCTTTACGACTTTGCGAAAGAGATGCGCGTCTTTGGTGTGCAGGGTGCGGAGTAGCCCCAATAGCATTTTAAGAATGATTGCTGATCGTTTGGACTGTATGTACGTGAATCGCTGCGGGGCTATATCTCACGGGATGGTACAGTGGTGATTCGCGTATGTGGGGCTCAGCCGATCAGCTAATTTTCAAATTAATTAATTAATTATACATATTATTGTTGTATTATATTTTAACAATTTATGTATTATTTTTTTATTAACAATCTATGTATTTTTAAATGAGTCATTTTTACTTGAAAATAGAAATAAATAATAATAATAATTAGAGTACTACTTATAGCATAATAATTATTTAATTGCTCAAGCACATTCCACCTTAAACAGATAGTAAATCTACTCTCAACGTATTTATTTTTCCTTGCAATCCTCTCCTTTAAGATAAAAAAAGATGTCCCTTCAGATAAAATCCTTTTAAGATTAGAAAGTTATTCCCGAGATACCTTTACTGGAAACCGTTATCAGTCAGAAATATTAAACAAGATTAGTTCAAAGTCTTTTTTCTATTTTGTGGTATAATATTAATATAAGGAAAGGTAAATTAATGTTTACTTGAAAATCACAGTTAAATTATAATACAATATTGGCTCCAAGCATGTATTACTAAAGTTTAATAAAAAAATCAAGTGGATAGAGGATAGGAAGTTGTTAATTAAGACTATCGGGCAATAAAAAGTATTTTATATCATTAAACCCACCACGTTTCCCCAGGACATGCTAAAATAGTATACACTTTATTTATTTTAGTTTTTCTGAAAGGCTGTTAATTTTCTAACCAGGTCCAGGATAAAATTCACCATAATCTATTTTAGGGTTCCGAACATTAACAAGTCAAGCAATATTATTCCACTATTGTCATTAACAAATAAAATCCATATTTTACTCGCTGGTGCCGGTCAAATGTTATCTATATTTATCATAAATAAAGAGTAACATTCTTAATATACTTTTGATAGTCAGTGGTGGCCTATGGTTAAAAGGCCTGCCTCTCACGCATGAGGGCGTGGGTTCGATCCTGGCAAGTACCAATGTGATATTTCCGAGTCATATGTACTTTTTGAGAGTATTTAGACATCACTGATTAATGCATTCCCAAAGAGGGTTGATGTCAGGCGGGCGGCCGGTCGTAAACACAATTAGCCAAAACTATTCACAACATGTGAGGCAGACCCTGGCTGAAGCTGGGAAATTGCCAGGTAGAAGAGGAATATTCTTAATATACATTCGATTCTTACGATTTATCTTTCAACATAAGAAAACTCTTGAAGTTGACTAATATATAATCAAATATAATATGAAACGTTTGAGTGTCAAATACTTTTCAATATTTTTTAAGTGTACTATAATTTTTACTAACATTAGTTATAAGGTTGACATGTATTACTAATATTTAAATATGGACTATGTCTGAGATAAAAATAAATTATTATTATTATTATTATAATTCAATTTATATGAAACAAAAAGAAAGTTAATATATCTAAAAAATTAAGAAATGAAATGAATTTGAATGACACGTGTATAATAATTATAATTCTATTTAAATTTACTTACATCAAATAGATTTTGTTATTTCGATAGAGTTACAAATCGAAGTTGGCATATAAAAATGTATAGCATAAAGTAAAGGAAATTATAAATTTTAATAAATTATTTTTATATTAAATTACAAGATTAGAGTACATAATTAAATGTATTATTTAATTAAATATTACATACTATATTTTCATTGATTAAAGGGAGCGAAGTAAACGCAACGCTATACTATCGAGTCAAGTCATTCATCCACGGAGATGATCTCAACAACCGAATGTACGATCGAATGGAGGTTCTCTATTCGATAGCCCGGTTATTCGAGGGTAGTTTTTTAAAAAAATAAAAATCTAACCACAAACTTCATTATTTTAGTACCGAAACGAGGACACTTCACGAAACTGGTACGAAGAGATTTTATGGAGCAAAGCGAGATGTAGTATATGCAAAAAAACTCTAGTAGCAATATTGTTTTACATAGAGTTATAGGAGATTAAATTTATACAATGGAATTAGCACAAAGCTGGGCGAATAGACTGGTCTATAATTAAACTAAATAATAGTCTAGCATACATTTCTAACTTATTATACCATATTGATAGTGTTATCACTATATGTATATCAGTAACTCTGTTTATAATTTATAATAATAAATTGCAGTAAATAAAGCTAGCAATAATTAAGATAACGAAGCCTGGCTAGTCATGACCCAACTCGAAAACACATATTAAAAAATATAAAATACCAAATAGTATTACTATAAACCCAATTTATGAAGAACTATTAGTGTGATATAATATTAATTTAATTGTTATCAGACAGTTATATTAAATACGTGATATTGAACGTTGAACAAAATTATTACATTGGACATAAATTTAGGTATTTATAAGATTTTAAAACTGACAAGAAGTTTCATTAACTTGATAGGAAGATGAAAGTTGCATAAAATAAGTTTCTTAAACATCAACACTCGCGTATTATTGTAAAAAGGTCATATAGATGAGCAAGTTCAGTACATTCTTTGTTCATTCACTCTTTCTCTCATTCATTTTCAGTGTTCGCGGGAACTCGTCTCGTTCGGACGCTTCGATTCCGTGCGAATTTATACAAACAATAATCGTCATAGTTTTAATAATGCTGACGAATTAATTTAACATAAACATTAATTATTTAAATAATAAACAATCATGGAGGTCGAATCATTTCTTCGTGTAAACGAAACGTTAGAGGATTTTTACAACAGATGCAACAATCTGTCGTATTTCGACTGCAGCGAAGAGGAGATGTTATGGTGGCTGATGGGGTCACGAAGACTCCCTCTTAAAGAGATCATACCTTGGAGTATAGTGCTGGTTGTAATATTCTTGACCGGTGTGATGGGTAACGTGTGCGTATGTCTTGTCATCGTGAGGAACTCTGGCCTTCATACGGCAACAAACTATTATCTCTTCAGTCTAGCCATCAGCGATCTATTGCTGCTTTTATTTGGTGAGTTTTATTTACAATTTTTCGTAACAATTCTAAATTATTATAAAGGTATCTCTAATATTTGACACTGTTAAAATAGACTTCAATTATTTTAATGGTTAGCATCTTAGTAGTTACCTTTGCCAAATAAATACGTCTATTCTTGTGTCGCAGTAGGAGACACAATACTGTATGTGTAATATATAGAAATAAAAATACATAAATCATTTTTCGGGCAACATTTCAAAGCGATAGAACTTATTTTTTATTGTTATCTAAGAACAGAATCCGAAAACAGCTTGAGGGAACTTTTATCGGAATGATACGATCGACTGTTTTTTAATATTTTTATATTATTTCTTTAGTAAAATCCATAGATATTTAATCTTAATTTTTCTTAGTGTAAATTTTCTTGTAACAAGTTTTCCTTTATCCTTGAAGTCATAAAAACTCTATAAGAGGTACATATATTGCAACATGATAATCAAGCAAAATTTATATTTCAGGAAGAAAACATTAGTATTTAAATAGGTAGCTATTAATATAAAAGATGTTTCATTAAAAAATACATACAATAGACATTTCACATATAAACATATAATCCTAATAGGCCATAAAAATATTTCGGATTATAAATACAAATAACAACAATATATGTACTACGGCAGATTAAAATTTTGTTGATGTTATAAAACTATAGCTTTGAGTTTAACAGATTGAAGATTATCTTTGTAACGTAAGAAAAATGTGTTGAAATTATTATTATTTTATTACATAGTAATAGTATATATTTTATGAATAAATATTTCTACTGATTTCGTATTTCCTTTATACTATTTAAGTATTGTTTTGTTTTCAATTACGAGTGAATTTTTTCGTCTTAGAATATAGGAGTATTTCTCCATAGATTCAAGCCAATATCAGTATTCATTACGATACCATATTAGATGATCTATTTTTAGCTTTATACCAACAGTTCTTAATTTACTTGAGGCTTTGAATAAAAAAATCTTTTATTGTATTACTCAAACATTTTTAAATTGTATATATTTATTTCTAATTAAAAAAAAAGTAATAATATTTTTTTATAAGAGTATTTAGACGCCACTGACAGATGGCAAAGAAAAACATCGTAACGAAAGCTAGACTTATAATTTCACAATTATAAGTTGGAAATCGCCAATCCGTCTTGAGCAAACGTGGTGATTAATGCTCAAACCTTCTCCATGTGAGAAGAGCCCTTCGCTCAGCAGTGGGCTCTGATAAGTCGATGACGAATAATATTTTTTTACATTAAATTAAGGATCTTATAATTATTCTTCTAAAGTCAAATTCAAAAGCTGTTTTTAATGTGAATATCTTAATCAATCTTCTTCCATTTAGATTCGAACCCTGACGTTATCTTAAATCCTCCCGGTTTTTGTGAGTCGCTGACAAGCATTTTCCTCAATTTATGGATGTTTAATACATATATACATGTGTAAGATATGATTCATATGTAGATAGATGGTGCAATGGAGTTAGGTAGACAATTAAATCTTTACGAGGGCTTACCTTAATTCAGGAGATGTCCAAGTTATATGTAAGCGGTACCATATGGTAAAATTTCATGAAAATGTTAATAATATATTCCTAAAATTTCTTTAACAGCCACCATTTAGAATATGTATGTATACATAACATTATTCTTTAAGAAGAATTTCATTTAAATCATTCCAATAGTGTCATTTGAGAAGCTTCATTTAACTTGAATAATTTGTTTTGAGAATAAACGGTGATAAACCATTAATATAATCGTCATCTATCTAAATTCCAAATGATTCTACTATTAGTATAAATTAAAGCAAATGTGTTAGAAATAATCTAATTGTATTTATTTAAATAGAATACATATATTTAAATGTGCTATGTGCGCGTTTTTTATTATTTTAAACTACATACTTCCGATGTTTCGGTTACTTTGCTGCAACCGTGATCATGGGCAGACGAGATAGAAATTGAATGATGATGATGTATTTATATTTGACTTGTAATAATTTTAATCGCCTTTAGTTTTGCTATTTTAAATTATTAATTCCCAAGATACCTTTATTTTTAATATTTCTCTCTTATTAAGATTTATTTCTTACTATGTGATCTACATTTTATACATTTTATGTTTATCTTTATTTTTCAGTTTATTATTTATAATAGTTTACTAAATAATAAGTTTTATTACTTTAGTTTCGAACGTACTTTCGAAAACTAGGCCGAGTCAAATAAGATAAATCCTAAGCGTAATTAGCCTTACAGATTACTAAACAGTGAATAATTTGCTCCCTTGAACAACAAGTTTGAAGAACAACCTTGAAGTACAAGAAGTTATATATCATTATTTATATATTCAGTGTTTGTAAGTTACTACAAATAATATTGTTGTCATGAATACAAATCAGTAAACATTTGAGTCTCGAGAACTATATCCGTCTCTCAGCTGGAGGTAAAATTTAAAACAGAACACTATAAATTACTATAAATGGTTGCATTATACTTTTAAAAAAGATTCATGTTTTTCAGTGATAAAAAAGTGGTATACTTAGTTAGTGGCCAATGTGGCTCGTAGAACCCTAAAAATTTCGCACAAAGGATTATGAGGAAAAACAAAAATGAGATTTGGATAAAGAACTAAACTACAGTGTGTAATAGAAACAAAGGAAGAATTTCTTGAAGAATAAGAATTAAAAAAAAACGTAATTAACGAAATTGAAATTGCTACTTCATTCAAGCTCTCGAAAATATGAAAATTGTTTTCCTATAAATCAACAAATTGCTGTACTTAGTTCAAACATAGCTTTGTATGTAAAAAGACGGCTGGCCTGTGAAAGCGTCCTAACGAATTCAATTATCTAGGCAAGTTCAGTCTCTAATATGTAGGTATCCACTTAGTTCCAGAGACGATAATTTATGTAAATTAAAATTAACGAGCTGTATAATTGCTCGTATATTCAACCACACTTCGATAATAAGATTAAAGTAACATGTTATTAAAATTTATTTGATAGAATCTTGGCCCTTAGCTAAAAATATATGCGCTGTCTTCGTTTAATATAAAATTATTAAATATAAAGGAACAACGTTTTACAAAGTTATGAGCTACTTATAAACTACAACACTGAACACAATATTGTGAGTCTTCTTGCATATTTTATTTTTTTCAGCCTATCAAAGCCTATTGCTAAGCAAAGGCCTCTTTCTCTCATGGAAAAGGTTTGAGCATTAATCACCACGCTTGTTCAAGACGGGTTTGTGATTTCAAACTTATAATTGTGAAATTATAAGTCCAGGTTTCCTCACGACGTTTTTCTTGACCGTTTGTCAGTGCTGTCTAAATACTCTTAGAAAGTACATATGACTCAGAAAAATCACATTGGTACTTGCCAGGATCAAACCAACGCCCTCGGCAACGAGAGGCGGGCCCTTTACCCACTAGACCACCCCTATAAAACTTTTAAAATATAAAGTATGAAAGGAAAAAAATTTTCACGTATTATTACATGTATAAAAAGAGGCCATAAATAATTGTATAAATTACATCACCTATATATATTTTGAATATTCTTCGTTCAATTATTATACATATAAATGCTATTGTCAAACTTCTTTACGTCACTATCATGATGTATAAATGTGTGGGAATGTCATTGAATGTAATGAGATATGTCTGCCTTTTCTCTCTATGTTTCCATTCCATTAAACACGATAAAATGGAATCAATAGACGTATGTAGCTATCGTGACTATATTACTTTACTTCAGTAGCTACAAGTATATCTTAACGTAAGAATAAGGTAATGTTGACAATCTTCTTGTATTAAAGTCTTTATCTGGGAAGCGAGGACTTACGCCTACCCACAACAAAAAACACACAGACACACACACACACATATACACGCTCGCAAACATTCTAACAATTTTTATAAAATAATTTTGTAATTAAATCAAAAGTCAGTGGTGGCCTAGTGGTTAAAAGGCCCGCCTCTCATGCACGAGGCCGCGGGTTCGATCCTGGTCCGGGCAAGTACCAATCTGATTTTTCCGAGTCATATGTACTTTCTAATAGTATTTAAACATCACTGATTAATGCATTCCCAAAAGAGGGTTGATGTCAGACATGCGTCCGGGCGTAAAAAACAATTAGCCAAAACTATTTACAACATGTTCTGTGGAAGAGAAGAACAAGTTGTGCCGACCTTACTTAAAGTGGGATCAGGGCAGGGAAAAAAATTGTAATTAAATCTTATTCTATTTGGATTTATGTATAACTAACTGTTTTATATTTTATTTTATTACTTATATACACATACATATACATAGATTGATTAAAAAAAATGAAGGAAATATTTGTGTTATTAATGAAGTTGTACTTTTGAGGCATCATTCATTGATATAAAGACTCAAATATGGTATAAAAATAGTGTTGTTTCTTCAAGTGGTTTCTCCTTCACAAAAATCTTAGAAAAGGAATGTTGACTCGGACTTTTCTTTGTGTTAGTTATAATTGACTTTTCTTAGTTTTAATTACTTATACGATTTTATTTTTAACCGGGTTTAAACCTAGTACAGCAATAATGCAATAGTAACTTTATGGTTACAATTGGTTTTTTAATTAACCAATAGCAATAGAGTCATCACAATCCATTCATTCATTTAGTTCATTTTATCACTCATATTATCAGTTTTTCACAGTCCTCTACTAAGTAATATTAGTTTCTTCCCTGTACCATAATTCTTTACAATATCAAACGGTTTGCAATCTACAGTAAATTAAAGATATAAACAAAATTTGAATCCAGCATTGTATAAAAAACGGTTTTTAGAAACAATTATTTAATAATACACACTTTAGAAAAACTTTAAGTCAGTGGTGGCATGGTGGTTAAAAGGCCCCCTGCATGAGGGCACGGGTTCGATCCTGGCAAGTACCAACGTGATTTTTCCGAGTCATATGTACTTTCTAAGAGTATTTAGACATCACTGATTAAT